AGCTTTCGCAAGCTGCTCGCTCCGGTACCGTCAAATTCCACTAGTGGCAGTCTTTTAACTTGCAGTTTTCTGCGTCTTCTAGGAGCTCTAGGTGCCGCTTGTAAGGGATCTGCAGGAGATATAGAATCTAGTCCTAAAGCAGGTAGGTAGGAGCTCTACTTACTACCCCTATAAGAGCTAGATAGGGTGCCCTTACCTATCTCCGTGCTCTTATAGAGTAACCTACTAATAGCACTCTCCCCTCTAGGTCTTTCCTAGGAGCTACCTATCGTGGCGTTAAAGTGAGTTAGATCACTACTATCTTAGGTAGTAAGACCCTAATCTATAACCTATATAGATCCTTTATCTCCTATACTAAAGTTTAGTTCTAGTGTTAGTTTAGGAGTTTAGAGCCCTATTAGCTTAGGGGACTTTGTATAGATCCTTTGTGCTAAGCTAGCCGTGCTTAGTACCCACGCTAGAGGTGTCTACTTAGGGGGTTGTGAATTACTAGGCTAGCTAGCCTAATTATCTACCTCCTCTAGCTCTACCCTACCCCCTAGCTCCTGCGCTAGGTTTAGTCCTCCTTACTTACTAGACTCCTTATATTGCTCTGCCGTAATATAAAGCTAATTAAAGATATTAAGCTCTTTATATACTTCTCCTGCATTATAGATCTTATCTTTGCTAATAACGTTAACTATCTTTTAAGCTTCTAACTGTTAAAGCTACTCTAGATCTTTCTCTTTATAGAAAAGATCCTTATTAAAGGTAACGTTTCGCGTTATAATAATTTAATTAAGCGAGGGGATCTATATCCTATATATATTAGATACTCTATATCCTACTAGATATCTAATATAACCCTAAGGGTTTACCTTAAAAACCCTCTTGTAACGCCTAGCTACTTAATCTCTATTAAGGGGGTAAGCTTAACAGCTATAGGCGTATATTCCGCTCTAATTAGGGCAGAGATTAGCAGTTGCCTCCCTTATCTGCTCTAGTTGCTACTACCTAAAGTATCTAGTAAACTAATAATCTAGCACTTTATTAGGTAATATTATATTATAAGTATAGGATAGGCTTATATTATAGAGCTAAGTCGCTGCTTTAACAATTTTAGGCCAGAGCTTTGTTAGTAGGTTAGCACTAATCCTTATTTTAATCAATTTTGTTATAATCTCCTGCCCTACTCTTTCTACTCCTCTATTAGGTTTATAGGTATATACGGGTAAGCTCTTAATTTTAATACTATTATTAGCTGCCTAGATCTAAAAGCAAGATTTGCCACGCTAAGGGAGTGTTGCAATATTATTATCTTGCATAATCTTAACTATACTAAGCTTATATTAGTTAAGTATTAAGCTTTTAAAATTTTTAAACACCCACATAATCTTATTAAGGTTTTTAGCTTGCAGTAGATAGGTATAAAGCTTTCCTAAGTAGTCGCACTTTAATACTAAGATCTATTACTTGTAAGCTATACCTATTAGCATATTAAATAGATCCTATAATACCTAGTAGTATGGACGTAGTAATCTTTCCCTTAGTCGTCTTAATATAACCTATTAGGCATATGTAATAGCGTAGTGCTCGCATTTGCTCCTAGGAGTTCCTTTAATCCTAACATTTATTACTAACTTAACTAGAGCTTTAAGCGCCTTAGGTCCTAAATAGCCTAATTATTAGTGCTAAAGCTCCTTACTGTCGTGTCTTAGGTAAGTTATCCAGGATCGTTAGGGTTATTTAGGCACTATACTTTAGATTATTTAATAAGGGGTAGAGGGCTTGTATTCTAGGAAAGTTAAGTTAAACTTGCGTAGTAACTTAGCTAATATAACGCTCTTTTCTAATAATCTAAACTACAAGGTAGTATCTAGCCTAAGGAACTAAACTCCTGCTTTAAGCAATTAAGCTTCTAATATAATATTCACATAAAAACCTTCTACTAACACCACGTTAGTAAGCACCAAATCTTCTGTTTTTAGACCTCTTGGTCTATTAAGAGCATTAGGGATTACTCTAGTCCCTCTACCTAAGATTAGAAAAGCTTAAGTTCCTGCTTTAACCGTCTTATATTTAACTAATCTAAACCAAGCTTTCTTCTAGGTAGCTTATATTATTAACTAGGTGCACTGCACCCCTATTGTTAAAGATAGTGCTCTTTAATAGAGCGTAAGCTTTAAAGTCTATAGTTAAATAGATCCTGTTTGTTTTCTCCGCTATTAACATAGGGTTAATTAGTGCTGCCTAGATACTGCCTAGATAGGTAATCGCGTTTTCTTTTGCCTTACTACTATAATCTTAATTGTTAGGATAGGACTTAATTAGAGTTTTTCTTAACTCTTTAAATTTTAGATTCCTATTAATCTTTTTCTTAATCTCTAATTATTAAGTAGTAGTAAGCTTATTACCTGTATTAGTCTAAGCTTTAATAACGTTTTTGCATTTAGGAGGTTTCTATAGGTAAGATCTACTATATAGGTATAAAGACTCCTTCTTAGGTTAATTAGAAGGTAGAGCTCCTAATGTTGCAAACACTCTAGGACCCTTAGAGCTTAATCTTATATTATTTTCTTAGAGCAGTAATAAATAGATCTTGGCAACCTGTAGGAGGTTATAAGTTAGCTCTCCTATTACTAACTTTTTAATAATCCTTTAAAACATAGTTTAACCCTAATCTAGTAAGATCCTAGCAGATAGAGCTTTAAGATAATCCTATACTACAAGCTATCCTTTAATATTAGGAACGTTGTATACCTTAGCTCGCGTATATAGGATTATCCACTCCTTCTACTAGTAATTAGCGTCTTAGCTACTTATCTTTACCTTAGCAAGATAAGCTTTGTACTACGATCTTGCTAGTGTTGCAGCGCTTAAGTTAGTTAGCGCTAGGTTATTGCGGAGCACTTAGATTAGTGCTTAGAGGGTTACTCTTCCTTAATTAACAAGCTCTATATAGGCTAGGGTAAGGATCCCTTAATCTACTATATTATTAACCTATATAAAGAGGTTCTAGATTACTAATAACTTTAATACCTAGTCTAATAAGCAAGCTTAGTACTATACTATTTAGAGTTTGTACTGCTAGCTTGTTGTGTTAGATAGCGCGATATCTGTTAGCATGTTAGGCTTAATAGGTTTATTCTTAAAGTGGTTTTTAGTATCTAGAGCCTTAGGGTCTACCTCTACCTAGATC